AAGTACCTGTGTTTAATGAAGCAAAAAATGAAAAGATAGGTGGGAGGCATAATAGAGAAGATAGTGGATTCAGAAATGGTTAGGGGGTAAAATAAGTGGCAACTGATTATCTCTTGGATAAATGTAGTGTATGGGAAAAAACTCTCAAATAAGATGTATGGGAATCATATGAGGCATACACATATATGGACTTCTGCAATTGTATTCCAAAATGTATATAGTTAGGCAAATGATTGGAAAATCAATAAAATTTGAGAAACAAAATAAAGGCCAATCACTTAACTATCTTTCTGCATTTCCTTTTTGGCATTTCTATTGGCATCTAGAGAACCAACAGGATGCTGGTTTAAATTTCCAGATGAGTGTGGAGGTTCTCAAACTACTAAAAATAGAGCTACCATATGAGCCAGCAATTTCACTCCTAGGAATCTATTGCAGCACTATTTACAATAGTTAAGCTACGGAAACAACCCAAATGCCCCCAAAATAGATGACTGGATCAAGAAGATGTGGTATATATACACAATGGAATACTATTCAGCAATCAAAAAAACATAAACTCATGCCATTTGCAGCAACTTGGACGGAGCTGGAAGGGATTTATACTCAGTGAAATAAGCCAGAATGAAAAAGAAAAATATTGGATGGTTCCACTTATAGGAGGAATATAGGGGAACCAAATAAGGATGATTCCACTTATAGGAGGAATATAGGGGAACCAAATAAGGAATCAGAAAAAAAAATAAAAACTAAAATAAACAGGCAATTATAAATCAGAGACATTCTGCAGGGGAGGGGGAAGGACAGGGGTCAAAACAGGGGAGGGAAGAGCACAAGGGACTATGGTGATGGTGCACTGGTGCATTGGTGGTGGGAATTTTACAGGGACCACACCTGAGAGGAGAAAGCAAATACTGTACAAAAATGAACAATGAAGTAAAAGATATATAAATAAATAAATTTAAAATATTAATAATAAATAATTTCCAGAGTGCTGTTTGTGGTTGTATTGGGTAAACAAATCTACTGAAACCACAAAGTGTGCTCAGGAGATCTGGTGCATGTTCATGCTTAATGGCTGCTCTTTTGCCCCACACTTGGTCATTTTTATTACCAGGGAAATTGGGATGGAATTCAGCTAATAAAAAGCACAGTGGTCCTTCCAGGAGTTCAGTTTCAGGTGCTCATGGGAGAAGAACAATACAATGCTAACTAAGTCTTTACAAATATTTACAGACTCTATGTTCTTGTGTGATGTGGGTAAACCACTAACATGTCAAACCTGGGTCTAAGCTTGGAAGATGAGGTGATATTTTCATGTTTTATATGCCATGAGAAGATTTAGCTCCAGTATAAAGAGGACAGTCTGGAGATGGGAGAGGCAAATAACTTTGTAACAGAGGGGACCCAATGGTTCTAAATATTCCAACAGACCACAAAGAAGCTGTGTGTTATTCACCTTTGAGCACAGCACTTAGTGAGTGTAACATGGGAGTTTAACAAAAGGTTTTCAAATATATGAATAACTGGAAATTGATCTAGTCTGAATCAGAGAAGGGAAATCCTAATTTTGAAGTAAATAAGCTTTTTGAAAAGCAAAAGGAAAATGCTAATGAGAGATCTCAAAGTAAAATGAAGAAAGAAGCAGAGATAGGCAAGGAGGACACACTACACCTGGGGAAGACCAGGTCGTCTGAGCTGATAGTGAATATCAGTTTTCTGAAATACTGGTAAGCAGATGTTCTACACCAGAAAGTAAGGGAATAATTCTGTTTTCTCCCTCTGGATTAGGGATTAACCAGATAAATCTCTCCACCAACTAAAAATGGCCATATACCACCACCCACATCCCTCTAGATCAGACAGGGCCTTGCTGATGCTGAGTTTGGTTCAAGGACCAAGAAAGAGCAACTTTTGGAAGAATTTCTGAAATATGTGGATTTGATGGCAGTGTACATTCTTCAAGAGTTATTATAACAGGGCAGTAAGAACATAACAAGAGCTGAACTTTTCAAGTTCAGCAAGGTCCTACATTTCATGCATCATTTCACCAGTAGCTGCATGACCCTTGTTAAGGACTCTGGCAGCCAAAGGAAGTGACTCAAAGATATGCTTCATTTGCTCCTGACGAGGGTGAACACTATTTTCTACACAGCTGTGTATCTTTTGCTAATTAAACCAGTTAACTTAAAATTTAAGTTTTTAACTTTGGTATAGAGTTTCCTTATGTAACTCTGTAACCTACCTAGGGTACATACAACTGGCATGTTGATGGATTCTGAAAAGTTTTGTTGGTATCAAAAATGATATTCATATGATGACTTACCATGAAGACTTGAATTTGGAAATGTTGTTAGGAAACCAAGGAATAAAACATAAGATAAAGAAATGTGGGAAGAAACCAGATAGTCTATCACATGAGATCTGGTCATTAAGGAAGGCGTTTCGGGGAGAGTTGAATCAGTGAAATTCACTCACTGTAATTTAATTTCTAATTTAACAGGGTTAGATAATTAGAAAGGTATGAGTTAACAGCAAGGCAGGTCCTTGCCTTGTGTTATCTGAGTGGATTGACTGCACAGCCCATAAATTGAAAAACAAAGGGTTTGGGGGTTCTGAAGAATCCTTGCAGCTCTGCCTGGGCTGACATTCAATTTCTAGCTAGAAATTATTTATTTGACAGGGAAAATTAGGGCTAAGCTATGCTCTAGTTCTCCCTGTCAAAGTGGTTAAGAAAAAAGGGAGGAAGACCAGAGGAGGAAAGTATTTACATTCTATTTCCATTTTCACATGGGCATAAAAATCTTACTTGTTATAGAGAAGTCTTGAAAGTGAAATGTGAGCTTTGAACTCTATGACTTTGGAGCAGGCTGACTGCATCAAGTTTTCACTGGGTGGGGTTTCAGAAATTCATTTTAACTTGAGAAAATTTGGAGGGGCTGGGAGAGTAAAGGAGGGAAGGGCCCTAATAGACTATGGTGGAGGATTATTGGGCTTTGATGGGGGATGTCGTGTGATAACATACATTTGTAGAGGTGTGAATCTGTACCCTTAAAACATATGCTATGTTGTAAATCAATGTTACCATCATAAACATAATTTTAAGAGACATTAAAACAAATGGTCATTTACTAAAGTAAGGATATGTCTAAGTCTACAAGTCATGAAGGATTTAAAAGAAATTTCTTTAAAAGAAAGTTCTTTAAAATGAGTAAATTTCTCTTCTAAAAATAAATGAAAAATTAAAAATACTTAATGAGGTTTAAAATTTCAATTGGTAAAAATATAACATCTTCTGTGTCTCAGACATTATTTTAGGAGAAGGTGACCTGGCTGGATTGGAGCCAATGAGAGAGAGTAAAGTTGGCAATATGCCTGGCATCTCTAAAACTGTAAGTCTGTGGAAGCACAGATTTATCCTTTTTTAATTGTTTTAGAAATTAGACTTTAGGACACAGCTATAGGGTGAGACAGAAATTGTTATAACTTAGTAAAATGAGAAAAAGGAAATTTATAGGTGAGATGTGTGGTAGAAGGTGGTGGGATGTTAAAAAGACAGTATTTAGCAAGGGAAAATTTTGTTGGGTTGGAGGAGAATAGGTATAGGAGTTAGTAGGCAAACTCCTGGATGTAAAACCAATTTAAAAGGGTGAGTTGGGAAAGGAATGAGAATATGGTATCAACATGACACTTGAAGCCAGCAAGCAAGGATCCTGGGACTCTGGTTCCCTTCAGAAATAAGCCTAAGGTTGCTCACAGAGCAGCTGGTGCATGGTCTGCACCTAGGGCCAGTGACTTTTCTTGGAACTAACTGTAAAATGCCTTGAGATACAAGGGCACAAAGTTTGAAGTAGACAATGTTTCTAAGGCAGCAAAGTTTTAAGTATCTTATGCAGGAGCATACTGAAATATATTACATACAATGTGGAGTAGATGCTAGAGAAATACACTATGATTCTTGGATTTTATAAAGTAAAGAGTATTTTAGCAAAGAGGCAGTGGACTATGGAGAAATGGACTTTCTGAAATGCTGGAAAGTTGGAGGCAGAAATTTTGCTCTGGAACATCTGTGCACTGACTTATTTCTTAACCTGGACAAAGGGGTAGTTTTATACATGCTGAATTTGGTTTGAGATCCAGGAAAGCAAATTCTTATACACACACACACAAACACACACAAATATATATATGCATTAACCCCCACACATATATTCTTGTATTCTTGGGTATATCTATTTATATATACATTCTGTGCATATATATATTTATTTACTTATATATAAACTTATTCTTATGTACATTTATGTGTATCTATGTACACACATACACACATATTTTTTTCTGGAATGGTTGCTATAAGTGTTGAATTCCTAAATAAATAAAAACAATGAAGTATCAAGAATTGAACTTTCCCCTGAAGTCCTGTCTTGCCCGGAGAGTGTCAGTGGACAGTGCTTGTCAATAAGGTCTTTGGAAACCAAGGACAACCACGTAGAGATATTCTACTTCTGTTCTTGTTTTCATAAAGTTCTGAATCTTTGATTAATTAAGTTGGCAACTTAATTTTATCCTATTGTGTAAGTTTCAGGTGTGCTTATTCTCTGTGTATGTATCTTCCTGTTAATGTCTAACATACCTGAAATGCTATGTGCACTCTTGTTTCTGTGTTGGATATGGGCAGGGAATAATACCTTCTTTTCTGGGCTCCGCAGGTCAACAGACCCTTAACCTATTCATGTTCCAGTAATCACATCTACTCCTATTAAGAAAGTCCCAAGATTACTGTGTGTTTTGTACTGAAAGGATAATGAAAGAGCCCAGACAGCAGACACAGCATCAACACTGAGAAGGCCCTTAATGAACCTTTCCTCCACTGCATCAACTTTTTTTTATCATGACTGTGACCTAGCTCTTCAGATCTTGGACCAAGTCTCCACTTTTGAATGACCTTGACTTAGGGGAATTTTATTGTAGACATTCAAGAGCAAAAAGTCTCTTACCAGATGCCAAGAGATCATTGATTAGAACAAGGAATTTTTCATCAGCCACTTGGGCATCAGTCATAAGAAACACTGTGCTGACATTCTTCACCCCAGCTTTCAGGCACAAGCTGGCCAAGTCTACCTGCAGAAACAATTAGCATTAGAAATCTATGAGAAGTAGGTCTTTTCAAAAGAGACCCCAATCACTCTTCAGGAATGGATCCATTTATTTATTTTCAAGGGAACTAGTATAAGATGCCAGTGGGAGGTAGGAATAGTGCTGTTGTGCATCAATAGGTGGCAAAATATGCCTGGACCCCAGGCATTGATCCCAATAGAGGTGAGTAAGAAAAATTAAACAGTGACCATCTTTAATTCATATGACCACTGTGGCTCCTGTGCTAGGTTTTGGAGCTTCTGCTTTGTGCAAAGATGTAAGAGCTTTTCAAAGCATAAAGATGCTCATCTGTATTACTTATATTATCACACAGGTAAATAACCTTCCCCAGAAAGCAAGTGATTGCTCTTGGTCTTGACAAGAGTCATGTGTTTGGTCTCACACTGCACGGGGGATAAATATGTCATAGGATAAATATGTCATATTCTAGCAGTAACTCTTACGTCTAGTTCCAGCAAAAGACTTCTGGGAAAATATGTGTTGGGGAGCACACATACACACAACACTCATTGCTGGCATGCATTAAAAAATGTAGTCTGAAAGCCATAATCATGAAAACTGCATGGTATTGGAAAAAGAACAGACACACAGACCAATGGAATCGAATAGAAAACCCAGAAATAAACCCACAGATTTATGGCCAACTAATCTTTGACAAAGGAGCAAAGAATATGCACTGGAGCAAAGAAACTTTATTCAATAAATGGTGCTGGGAAAACTGGGTCGCTACATGCAAAAGAATGAAGCTTGACTACTACCTCATACCATGCACAAAAACCAACTCAAAATGGATTAAAGAACTAGACATAAGACCTGAAACCATAAAATACATAGAAGGAAATATAGGCAAAACACTACATGACATGCACTTCAAAGACATCTTTACAGACACATCTCCCAAAGCAGTGATAGTGAAGGCAAAGATAAACAGCTGGGACTACATCAAATTAAAGAGCTTCTGCACAGCAAAAGAGACAATAACAAAAACAAAGAGAAACCCCACCAACTGGGAGAACATTTTTGCACCCAACACTAATGATAAAGGATTGATCACAAAAATCTACAAAGAGCTGATGAGACTCAACAACAGCAAAGAAAATAATCCAGTCAAAATATGGGCAGAAGAGCTAAAAAGAAACTTCTCTGAGGAGGAAATGCAAATGGCCAACAGGCATATGAAAAAATATTCAACATCACTTGTAATCAGGGAAATGCAAATCAAAACTACCATGAGATACCATCTTACACCAGTGAGAATGGCACATATTAAAAAAGTAGCAACAACAAATGTTGGCGAGGTTGTGGAGAAAAAGGAACTCTCCTGCACTGTTGGTAGGAGTGTAAAGTGGTCTAACCACTATGGAAAGCTGTGTGGAGATTTCTGGACCTACTAAACATAGAACTTCCATATGATCCAGCAATTCCACTCCTAGGTATTTACCCAAAGGACACAGAAACATCAATTCCAAAGAGCACCTGCACCCCTATGTTTACAGCAGCACTGTTTACAATAGCTAAGCTTTGGAAACAACCTAAATGCCCAAAAATAGATGACTGGATCAAGAAGATGTGGTACATATACACCATGGAATATTACTCAGCATTCAAAAAAGATAAACACATGCAATTTGCAGCAACATGGATGGCACTGGAAGGGATCATGCTCAGCGAAATAAGCCAGAAAGAAAAAGAAAAATACCGGATGGTTTCACTCATAGCAGGAATCTAGAAAACTTAAAAAAGGGATGAGGAAAAAGAATAACTATAAGAAAGAAAATATCAAAATCAACAAACTATGAACCAGAGACACTCTGTGGGGGGTAAGGGGTGGGGAAAGGAAGGCTTGGAGTCTTCCTTTAAGGAAGGAAGAGGGGGTTGTAATTATAAGGGGAATATAAAAATAAAATTTAAATAATAAAAAAAATCCACAAAAAAAAAAAAAGTAGGCTGGGAGGCCATGCTTTGAATGGCAGCTCAGTTAGTCCTGGTTCCTTTAGAGTATCATGCTATCAAAGCTCAAACATCAGTCCCTGACCTGACCTTTCTTGCTGGAGACTGTGTGAACCCAGCAGAAGGCTCACCGAGGAGACAGAGCAGGGACCTTTCTTTACTGGAGACTTGTGAACCCAGCAGAAGTTCCCCAGAGGAGCCAGTGGTGAGCTGGGAAGGTCGCCCAAGATGCTGGCCAGTACCAGCAACACAGTGTCACAAGGAATACAGCAAATTAGAAAACAGGCAGTAGGGAGTAGAAAAACCACATGCAACCCAGCAACTCCTCAGCAAAAAAGCACACCGCAAAAAGAAAACCATCTACCAGATTGCAACGACAGTAACTTGGAAGAACTTCTGAGCCTTCCAGATAGAGAATTTAAAATTGCTGTGATTAAAAAACTGACAGAAGTCATAAAGGAAAACAATGATAAGGGGAAAATAATTAATGACCAGAAGAATGAAATTGAGTCCCTAAAGAGGGAAGTAAAAGAAATGCAGGAGATCAGAGAATTAATGGAGACGCTAAAGAACTCTGGGAAAAGCAATGAAAGCAGAATAGATGAAATGGAAGAACGAATAAGTACTCTTGAAGACACAGAAATAAAAAGAACTAAAACAGAAAAGGAAGGAGAAGTACGAAGGAAAAAGACCGAAGAAAGACTTCGGGAACTATCTGACTCCATGAGGAAAGGAAATATAAGAGTTATAGGAATCCCAGAAGGAGAGGAGACAGATGTAGGAACAGAGAAAATATTCATGAATATAATTGAAGAGAACTTCCCAAACGCGAAGAAGGATCTGAAAATTGATATACAAGAAGCAAGAAGAACACCAAACTTCCATGACGAAAGGAAAAATACAGCAAGACGCATAATAGTAAAGCTCCCAAGAATCCAAGACAAGGAAAAAATAATGAAACTAACAAGAGGGAAGAAACAGATAACATTCAAAGGGAAACCAATCAGACTGACATCAGACTTCTCTGAAGAAACACTATGGGCAAGGAGAGAGTGGAGGGACATAGTCAACAGACTCCAAGAAAACAGATGCCAACCAAGAATACTCTATCCCGCAAAGCTCTCCTTCCTCTTTGAAGAAAGAATATGGACCTTCCCAGACAAACAGAAACTCCGGAATTTTATTACGACTAAACCCCCACTCCAAAAAATACTACAAGGAGTCCTAAAGCCAGAACCTCAGAGGGACGAATAACAACAAAAGAAGGCCAAAGAAAGTTATTAAAAGAATAAATAAATAAAATCAAAGGAAAGACAAACACAATGGCAAATACAGATGCTAACATATCAATACTAACTCTAAATGTAAATGGACTAAACTCTCCAATAAAAAGACACAGAGTTGCAGGCTGGATTAAGAAACAAAACCCAACCTTTTGCTGTCTCCAGGAAACACATTTAGCTGCAAAAGATAAAAATAGACTCAAAGTTAAAGGATGGAAAACAATTCTACAAGCAAATGGACCAAAAAAGAAGGCAGGAACAGCTATACTCATATCAGATAAAATAGATTTCAAACTTAAAAAGATAAAAAGAGACCCCAGTGGTCATTACATTATGATCAAGGGACAATACTTCAAGAAGAAATAACACTCATTAACATATATTCACCAAACGAAGGAGCACCAAAATATATCAGACAACTATTGGCATCTCTGAAAACAGACATCAGAGAAAACACATACGTAGTGGGAGACTTCAACACACCACTATCAACAATGGATAGATCAACAAGACAAAAAATAAGTAAAGACACTAAAGCTCTAAATAAGGATCTAGAGTGCTTGGGCTTAACAGACATATATAGAACACTAAACCCAAAAAAATCTGAGTATACATTTTTCTCAAGCGCACACGGATCATTCTCTAGGATCGATCATATACTGGGGCACAAGACAAACATCAACAGATACACCAAGAATGAAATCATACCAACCATCTTTTCTGACCATGAAGGCATCAAACTAGAAATAAACCATAAAAAGAAGGCAAGGTACTCTCCTACCTCATGGAGATTGAAACCCACACTACTGGAAGTCCACTGGACTAACGAGGAGATAAAAGAAGAAATTAAAAAATTCTTTGAATTGAATGACAAGGAGGACACCAATTTCCTAAATGTATGGGATGTAGCAAAAGCAGTAATAAGAGGAAAATATATAGCAATAGATGCTCACATCAAGAAACAAAAAAGAACTCAAAGAGACAACCTAATCTCGAAGCTCAAAGATCTAGAAAAAGAACAACAAAAAAACCCTAAAACCAGTAGAAGAAAAGAAATAATAAAAACCAAAGCAGAAATAAATGAAATCGAAACTAAAAAAACAATCCAAAAGATCAATGAAACCAAGAGCTGGTTCTTCGAAAAAATAAATAAAATAGATAAACCCCTAGCCAGGCTCACAAATGGACTACAAGCAAATGGACTAAGAAACAAATGGATTAAGAGGCAAAAAGGGAGAAAGCACAAATAAATAGGATAATAAATGAAAGAGGAGAAATCACAATGGACACAGCAGAAATCAAAAGAATAATTAATAACTACTATGAACAGTTATATGGAAACAAGTTCAACAATCTAGAGGAGATGGACAAATTTCTACAACTCTACAATCACCCAAAGCTAGATAAAGAAGAAATAGAACACATAAACAGACCAATTACAATTAGCGAAATTGAAATGGTAATCAAAAACCTCCCCAAAAAACAAAAGCCCAGGACCTGATGGATTTACAAATGAATTCTACCAAACATTCAGAGACGAATTGGTGCCTATCCTTCACAAACTCTTCCAAAAAATTGAGAAGGAAGGTATAATACCTAACACGTTCTATGAAGCCAACATTACACTAATACCAAAACCGAACAAGGACAACACAAAAAAAGAAAACTATAGGCCAATCTCCCTAATGAACACTGATGCAAAAATCCTCAATAAAATTTTAGCTATTAGAATCCAACAGTGTATCCATAAGGTAATTCACCACGACCAAGTAGGATTCATTCCAGGGACACAAGGATGGTTTAACATCCGAAAATCAAACAACGTTATCCAACACATCAACAAAAATAAATATAAAAACCATATGATAATATCAATAGATGCTGAGAAAGCATTTGATAAAGTGCAACACCCATTCATGATAAAAGCCCTTGAAATTCTTGGGATACAAGGAAAGTACCTCAACATCATAAAGGCCATATATGACAAGCCAACAGCCAGTATCATTCTCAATGGTGAAAAGCTGAAAGCAATTCCTTTAAGATCTGGAACAAGACAAGGATGTCCACTTTCACCACTGCTTTTCAATATAATACTGGAAGTCCTAGCCAGAGCAGTAAGACAAGAGAAAGACATCCAAGGAATCCAAATAGGAAAAGAAGAAGTCAAACTATCACTCTTTGCAGATGATATGATAATATACATAGAGAACCCCAAAATCTCCACAGAAAAACTAATTCAACTCATCAATCAGTTCAGTAAAGTGGCAGGATAAAAAATCAACATGCAAAAGTCAGTAGCCTTCCTATATACAAACAATAAATCTGAAGAAGAAAAAATAAAAAAAAAACATCCCTTTTATTATTGAAACAAAAAAAATCAAATATTTGGGAATAAATCTAACAAAAGAGGTAAAGGACCTATACAAAGAAAACTATAAAACACTGTTAAAAGAAATAGAAGAAGACACAAAGAAATGGAAAGACATCCCCTGCTCATGGATTGGGAGAATAAACATTATTAAAATGGCCATCCTACCAAAAGCAATATACAGATTCAATGCTATTCCAATCAAAATTTCAATGACATTCTTCAAAGAAATAGAACAATTATTGATGAAATTCATATGGAATCACAAAAAACCCCGAATAGCCAAAGCTCTCCTGAAAAAAAAAAAGAAGGGAATGGAGGCATCACACTCCCAGACTTCAAACTCTACTACAAAGCCATAATCATCAAAACTGCATGGTATTGGAACAAGAACAGACATACAGACCAATGGAATCGAATAGAAAATCCAGAAATAAACCCACAGATTTATGGTCAACTAATATTTGACAAAGGAGCAAAGACTGCATTGGAGCAAAGAAAGTTTGTTCAATAAATGGTGCTGGGAAAACTGGTTACTACATGCAAAAGAATGAAACTTGACTACTACCTCACACCATGCACAAAAACCAACTCAAAATGGATTAAAGAACTAGACATAAGACCTGAAACCATAAAATACATAGAAGGAAATATAGGCAAAACACTACGTGATATTCACATCAAAGACATCTTTACAGACACATCACCCAAAGCAGTGATAGTGAAGGCAAAGATCAACAGCTGGGACTACATCAAATTAAAGAGCTTCTGCACAGCAAAAGAGACAATAACAAAAACAAAGAGAAACCCCACCAACTGGGAGAACATTTTTGCACACAACACTAATGATAAAGGACTGATCACAAAAATCTGCAAAGAGCTGATGAGACTCAACAACAACAAAGAAAATAATCCAGTCAAAAAATGGACAGAGGAGCTAAAAAGAAACTTCTCTGAAGAGGAAATGCGAATGGCCAACAGGCATATGAAAAAATGTTCAACATCACTTGCAATCAGGGAAATGCAAATCACAACTACCATGAGATACCATCTTACACCAGTGAGAATGGCACATATTAAAAAAACTAACAACAACAAATGTTGGCGAGGTTGTGGAGAAAAAGGAACTCTTCTGCACTGTTGGTGGGAGTGCAAACTGGTCCAACCACTATGGAGAGCTGTGTGGAGATTTCTGGACCTACTAAACATAGAGCTTCCACAGGATCCAGCAATTCCACTCCTAGGTATTTACCCAAAGAACACAGAAACATCAATTCCAAAGAACACCTGCACCCCTATGTTTATAGCAGCACTATTTACAATAGCTAAGCTTTGGAAACAGCCCAAATGCCCAAAAATAGATGACTGGATCAAGAAGATGTGGTACATATATACCATGGAATATTACTCAGCATTCAAAAAAGATAAACACATGCAATTTGCAGCAACACGGATGGCGCTGGAAGGGATCATGCTCAGTGAAATAAGCCAAAAAGAAAAAGAAAAATACCGGATGGTCTCACTCATAGCAGGAATCTAGAATACTTAAATAAGGGACCAGGAAAATGAATAACTATAAGAAAGTGAAAATCAAAATCAACAAAAACTATGAACCAGAGACACTTTTTGGGGGGTGGGGGCGGGAGGGGAGGGATTGGGGTCAGAATGGGGGGATTGCAATTGTATGAGGAATATAAAAATAAAATTTATTAATTAAAAAAAAATAAAAAAAATAAAAATAAAAAAACATCAGTCCCTGACCTTCTTTTCTTTCTCTCATGCACCACTCAAAGTTCTTTCTCTAACAGTCTCAGACATTTCATTACAGCAGAGTTTCCTTCATGTCCAAATAATTCCCCTTTAAGTTTAGTAAACTTTTTTTTATAAGGTAATGGTTCTCACATAATTGTTATAATTGAAGGCAATGTTTCTTAACACTCAGTTGAATCACCTGAGGAGGGGGGATCTTGGAAAGTTCTAATGCCTAGGTCACTCCTCATAGTAATTGAGTGAGAATTTTGAGGGGTTGGGATATAGTCATCAGCTTTATTTGAAGGGGATTCTAGCAAATAAGGTTGAAAACCACTGTCTTGGATTATATGATAAATGCGTAATTCTCATGCACTATCTTGTATTCTCTTTATTGAAAGGGCTGATGTTTGAACTAATGTGTACATGACATATATAAGCTTAGATTCGGTCAACTTCCAAGAAGTGGAGCTGTGGTTTCAGAGCATCAGTGAGCATCTGCCTGTCCCACCGTGGTTGGGAGACTATGAGGGTTGGTGAGTTGGTCTGGCTCAATGCTGGCTGGAATTCTCCCAGAGATAGCAAGGACAGCATCTGGATGGAAATTACATCATGATTTCCTACTATTCCTCTGTAGTGGCCATGGATAAAAAAAGGAGGGTGTGTGTGTGGACAAAGTGACCCTTGAGGGTGGTATATAATGCTTTCCCCACTTCCTAGAACATGCATTGTGGTTCCTAAATGCCTGAAGTCTAAATCTAAGAAATGTCAATAAAGGTCCCAGCTGCCAGTGGTTACTGATACCATCTTTTAAAATATGAATTTCTTATGAAACACAGACAGTCAGAATTTCACTTAAGTCCACTAGAGCTGCCAGGGAGCTAGATGCTGAATTTGATATAGATATGCTGTTGATTTGGGGGCGAGAAGCTTTCATAGGTATAACTCAAAACAACTGAGGTGTCATAAACGCAGACCTCGGGAAGGTCAGCATACTCAAGCTGATCCTAATAAGGAGACAGTCCCCCACATCACCAGCCCAATGACTAAGAAGAAAATGGAAGGGCATTTGGAATTGGTGAGCTCATGAAGAGTGACAGGGAGTACAGGGAGTTGGAGAGAGGCTGAGTCTCTTCTCCACAGTTGCCCAACCTGCTCACCTTGAAGTCGGGGATCTGGTAGCCTTTCCTCAGTGTGATCTGGAATACATCCATGGAGCTAATGAAAGCTGCAAGCCTGGTCAGACTCTGCTTGCCACTTCCACCTACACCAACCAGTAGAGCATTTCCCCGCGGTGACTCCAAGATACGATTGATATGGCAGCTAAAGAGAAGGAAGCAGAAGCACATGGCTTTAATCAGACTTTGTGAAGAGCATACCTAACGGTCTAAGTGAAAGCTGGAACTCTCCTTAGAGACCCAATGTGGGCTGAACTGTGGGAAACTTAGATTATCTGCAAACCTGGTCTCACTTTCTTGCCCAAGTATTTTGCTTTAAACCAAAGCTGCCTGTGGCTAGTGGCAGTAGACGAAGAGTTTATGGCAGTCAGATGGGATTGGAGGGTGCAGGTGATGGTGAAGGGTGAAAGGTAGAACTTCCCTTCCCTGCCCTCCCCAGTCAAGTCTCACCCTGACTGCCTTCCTCACTTCACTTTGACTCACCTATTTATGCTTTTAGGCAAGAGGAGAAGACAGGAAAAAGAGAAAAAGAAAAATAATGGGGAAAAAGAGAAAAATAGGCCTGTATGTTTATAATGATGTATATACATACAATTAGAGAAATAAAAATCAGGGTAGGCTAGAGGATAAGCAGCAATAGAAAAGTTTGTTCATGTTAGGAACATGCACACTTAAAGTTGGCAGAACAACAGAGAATGATGACATAGCTTTTGTCTTTCCCTCCTTTAATCTTCTTGAATCTTGATGGCTTTAGAAGGAATATTGGTGGATTCTTAGTGTCAACCTACAAGACACCCACTTCCTTGACTTCTGGGTTCTTCTCTCTACATTTATACTTACTGCTCTCAGTACCCATATTCTTGCTCCACTAATAGGGAAATATTCCCAGGCCCTGGGTTTAGACAATGGCCCTCCAGAGGAAGTTACTCCTCCTGCCCCTTCCAGCCTTTTCTCAGATGCTTCTGTTAGAACAAGCTGTTCACTGCCCTCCATCCAAGTTGTTACAAATGGCAAATTTTCATCATTTTTATAACTGTCAAACCAATGTTACTTCAATAAAAAAAAATTAAAGCTGTTTACTGTGTGTCCTTCAGAATATACCACCAATTTTTTCTATAATTCTGTTAGCACTATGATATACCTTAGGTAGGGTGCTTATATTATTTATAAAAATAACTTCTATTTCTTATTTTCTGATCTTAAAAATGACTGCCTCATACAAAGTGCATAAAATATAGAAGAACATCCACAATTCTAGATCTTGGGATAAACACGATTGACATTAATTGTATGTCCTTACAGACTTTACCTAAGGTTCTGTATGTTTATAATGATGTATATGCATATGTAAATGTACATGTTATGTAAATGTATATATGAATATGCATTTAATCCATATACTGTGTCTATCTTGTATATTTTCAAAACTAGATTGACATTTTATACTCAGCATAGTGTTATGAAACCATTTCTTCACTTGCCAATACACTGTGATTATTTCCCTATGCCACTGAGTAGTCTGCTAAACTTTGTTTTTAAAGTGTATTGATAGCTCATTTCATAGAATAAGCTGTTTGCTTGCAATAGCATGCTTTTGGATATTTAGGCTGTTTCTAACATCTTCCATTTATAAATGGCGCTATGCAAATATTTTTACTTTACATCCCTAATTATTTCCAGAGGTTAGGATCTTAGAAGTAAAGTTGCTGATTGAAGCAATAAGACAATTTCTATGCCTTTTGATACATACTGAAAATTTGCTCCCCCAAATGGGGGCACCAATTGGTACTCCTCTCATGTAGAATTGATCAAAAGATGTATCTGTTATATTGAAAAATTAGAATATGTTAGATTATATTAGTTGAATTAGAATGTACAGAAAGTTTTAGCTGTCTGGACTTAAAATTGTTTGCCAATAAATTTATGTGGTTAAAATTTATTGTCTTAAATATTCAGGTTTTTATTGACTTATACTTGGTTCTTTAATGATTTTACTTTAATTATTTAGCGGTAACATTTTTACTCTATCTTATCTTGCTCCCTTATTAAACCATAGTTTCTAGACATCTGAAGAGTGAATACACTCATTTTGTCCTCCCTGTAGTACTAGCACTTTGAAACTATTCAATACATTTGTGTTAAATTTAAACAAAATAATCCATGTCTTATACTCAGCATTGAATTGGGGGTGACACACACGATTGTTCACTATGTTTGGTGCAAGGAATCATCTGTTTGTGTTTATATAGATGCTACCTGACTCTAACGATAAAAGGAGAAAATATGGTGCTAAGATATTCAGGCCTTCTCTTCTGAAAGAAAAAAGGAGGGTGCAGGAATTGATTAATGGAGGAGAGAGAGAAATATGCAAGAGGAAAAGGAAGGGGAGGAGGAGAGGTCCATCTTGGGCCACCTAATGCCCAGCTCTGCTCTGAAAGGCCTGAATTCAGCTTAGCAAGGTCCATGCTATTCAATATCTAGATGGAAAATGTATCACTAGTCTTGAAGTTTTCAAAGAAGAATGGTTAAGATTGCAACTGTCAGCATTAGATTCCAGCTGGGGATTCATTAACAACCTCTGGCTAGGGCAAAGGACTCTGCATTTAAATTACAAAATTTAAAGAGAAGATCAATATTCTAAAGGGCTCCTGGGCCAGAAAACCAAGTCTGTCTAAGTTAAGCACTTCCATGAATTTCTGGGAGATTAATAACAAGAGCTGAAGATGTTGCACAGCCCAGCTGGAGGAAGCTGGTTTATTGAAGACTGAACATATACATATACATCCCCCCCACCCAGAGAATTGATGATACACAATAGAAGGGTCCCAAGAGAAGCACATCTGAGGGTCTTTTTTGGTTAATGATTGCGAAAGGATTCATTTTTTTTTAAAGATTTATTTATTTATACAAGCACTGGGTACAGTCAGAAGCACAGGAGGGTGAGAGAATTCACCAGAGCCAGAGCAGGAAACGGAACAGGCAGACTGATGAAACACACTTCTGAGGGGAGCAGTGGGTGCAGCAGGAGAGGTCTGTGCACCACGTGGGACCCTCGCCGGTGGCCGGGGATGGATCCGGCGCTGCAGAGGCTGTGGGCAACTTTGCAGCCCAGCGCTCAATTGCTGTGCCACCGGGGAAGCCCTGATTGTGAAAGGATTCTAAGAGAAAAAAAGAGGAGGCAGAAAAAGATACATGGGAATGAAAAATCAAAGACAAAGAGAGATTAAAATTATACCAAAGCAGAGAAAAGATCTAATTGAAAATGTTAAGAAAAAGTAGGACAAGAGACTGCTGAAATGGTGAAAGAAGTCAGTAAAAGAGCAAAGTGGCACTATTAAAGGCAGAAAACAATAGCACAAAGAAATCTCCATGCTTATAAACTGCTAATTAAGTGCCAATCACAGCATGTAGATAGCAAAACCCTTACGATGTGGGCATTCTTACTATCCTCATTTTTCAGATAAGAAAACTGAGGCTTGGGAAGGTAAATATCCTTCTCAAATCCCCGCAGTCAGTTAGTGGCAGCCCAGGATTTGAACTGGGGCCTGACTCTGTCTCCAGAGCCTGTGCCTGCTGCCACTACATAGTGCTCCATTATTAGGTTGCACATAAAAGCAGCAGAAAGCCAGAACAGCAAAATGTGGGAAAGGTGTGGGTAATTCAAACAAGAGAAAAAGGTTAGGAACTCAAGTGGTAAGAACAAATTGAAAGATTATAAAATCAAAGTCAACATGTCTTATACACTTTTGAACATCCACCTTTTTGCCCATCCTATCGGTTCCTGGGAAAACACAGAGATTTCCTCTGCCCTGCCCTACTCCCACCTTGGGCATCAGAAAATAAGACCTTCATGGAGTGAGCCCAGATCCTTCGTGTGGAATGATGCAAGACCATGGAATTTTCCAATATTCTTAGATTTCCTATGTTTCTCACTGTATTGTTTGACTTTTCTCTTCCTGGCATGAGAAGAGAATGCTTCTGTTCTGTCTGACTGGTAGGGGCAGCAAAGAAGGGCCAAGGAGATCCAGAGACAGGAGGGAAGGGAATGCAAAGATGACATCATGGGGGGGTGATATTTTAAAACAAATGTACAGGAAATCACACATCAAAATATGCCTCTGGCAGTTTCATTATTCCAGTTATTTTGCCATTGTTAAACACAGCACAGGTTTCTCTTTGGCAACTATCTTTGGAGTCTGTTTTGAAGCCCCAGAAGACCAGCCAGTTTTCATAGCCTGCCTTTATTTTTTCCTAAAAGCAGTATTAGTCAATTTCCCTGATGGAAATCACATTGGCTGAATCATTTGGTATTCTCCCAAGTTAAATTTATCCTTAAAGGACAAAGATTTGCTTCGATTCCAAGACTATGGCTCAGGCTCTGTTACCTATTAAGCAAGGGGAAAATATACAATGAAACTTCACAGGTTAGTTAATAGATATCTTAAAAACCCTTATTACTGACTGCTCCTTATGTACCAGACACTGGTCAAGGTACTGGAGAGTAGGCAGTCTGCGTGCTCAAGGAGTTTATCCTTGATTAACATTTGAGGAAACATTACACTGTGATGGTGAGGAGCACACATACTATTTCTAGTGTGTGTGACCCTAGAAGACTTCCCTCATCTGTCAGGGTATCATTTCCCCATTTATAATATAGGGATAATAATAGACCTCTCTTTCTTCAGTTTTTTTGTGAAAACTGAAAAAATTGAAGTCTGCAAAATGCCATACACCGGTGCAATAGTGAATTCTAAGTTAGATGTAGCTCTGACATATCATATTAAATGCTTGCTCTTCAGTGAGGCCTTCCTGATCACCCTACTTAACTTTGTAATCACCCCTGAACTCTCTATTCCTCTTCTCTCTGAATTTTTCTCCACATCATTTATCCCACCTGATATTCTAAGAGTTTTTACGGAGTACCTGCTACACTCCAGATACTGTCTTAGGTTGAAGATCTAGCAGTGAATTAAATAAAAACTCCTGCACTCATACTGAAGCTGTCTAATCAATAAATATGCGTTGGGCAGATGGGTGGATAGATGGATGGATGTAAACAAAGTGATTAATCATGACAAATAAAGCAGTTGGTGAAGTAATATCAAGTGAGGACCCAGCAGTGACAACTGATTTGAACTTGAGGTAGGTCTGTGGTGACTTTGGTTCGAGCTTCTTTGTTCAAGTGTTAAGACATATACTGAGGAAAGGGTGAGAACTCAGAAATTATGGTGAATATTGACAATGTCTTTGAAGAGTTCTGTTGTAAGCAGGAGCAGAGCAAACAGGGGTAGGAAATGAGAAGAGATGAGTCTAGGAATAGTTTATTATCTTATTGTAAATGATTACACAGCATCTTTGTATGTTGATGCATAAGACCCAGGAATTGGTGATGGCGTAGGAGGGTAGAAAGCAGAAGGGAGTAAAGGGGGAGGGCAAGAGGATAGGAGAGGAGAGAAAATTGCAAGAAGGAGAAATGTCAGTGAGATGGTGAGAGGACATGGGGTCCAATGCACACATGGAGGCACTGACCTTAGGAACAGGGATGGTTCGCAAACTAAAATAGTAGGGGAGGAAGGATTTGTGGGCGGATGCAGATAGGCTGTTAGATATGGTGACGGGGAGATGAGACAATTCTCTTCCGGCCACTTTCATTAGCTCATTGAAAGAAGAGACATGCTTATTAACTGTCAATAAAGAGAAGGGAGGATGTTAGAAGCTTGTGAAGAGGGGGAAAAAATGTGTGATACTGCTGCTGTCAAGAGAAGGAGAAGAAAGCAAACTGCCAGGTTAGTAGAGGAATATTTCTAGAAAACTTGAGGGACAACTTGGTATTTGTGATTGACAATCTGAAGCAAGCCAGGGAACATGGTGGAAGATTTTTCTCTAATAATCTTCAGATGCTTATGTGCAACTGTGAAATAAGAGAGTGGGGTTTTGTCACATGGATGTCATGACAGAAAACTGGGGAGACTGCACTGGGATAGAGCCTATGGTGGTTGAGGAAGGTAAAGCCATGATATGGGGGAGGGACAAAGGAGTTTGAGAAAGTAGTTGACTCCACGAAATCAAGTCTTGATGAAATTTAAGAATAGCTGGAATATTTCTATTTTCAGCAAAATGAATGAACCTGAGGATATTAGGTTAAGTGAAATAAGTCACACAAAAAGACAAATACTATATAATCTCACTTATATGTGGAAACTAAAAAAATCAAACACATAGAAAGAGAGCAGATTTGTGGGTGCCAGAGGGGGTTTGAGAGTGGGGGAATTAGTGAAGGTGATTAAAAGGTAAAAACTTCCAGTTATAAAATAAGTAAGTCAGAGGGATGTACAACACAATGACTCTAGTCAGAAATGCTTTATTACATATTTAAATGTTACTAAAAGAGTAGAGTTTATAGTTACTCTTCAAAAGGAAAAAATAATGTAACCATGTGTGGTGATGGCTGTTAATTAATTTTATTGTGGCCATTATTTTGCAGTACATACTTAAGTCATTTTGTTGTATACCTTAAACACACACAATGCTACATGTCAATAATATATTAATTGAAATGGAAAAGAATACTTGGAATACAAGCTAGAACAGGTGGGTAGAAGGATAGATTAGAGAGTACAATGTTTAAAATTGAGTTTTTGGATGTGGATTCATTATTGATAATAGAAGTTCTAGGGTAAGAATAAATTGAATGAGTAGTTGAGATGGGATGGGAGAAAAAGTCATGGATTAAAGAGCACATGGGGCATAAAGACTAAGAGCTACACTGATACCAGGAGTGTAGTGCCAGTTGAGGCGAGAAAGATGACTATGCATGAAGGTCATTGGTAAACGGTGTGGAGTAACTGGATGTCAGCACATGGAAATTGTTAACAGGGACAGGTCAAGAATTCGACAGCCCAACTGCTTGTGTTTCAAAACATCAGGGTTTTGGGCCTCCCTGGTGGCGCAAGGGGTTAGGCACAGCACTATGAAGCAATCCACAGCCTCTGCAGCACAAGTTTGATCCCTAGCCGGCCATGGAGAGACACACATGGTGAGGCAGACCTCTCCTGTCTCGCCCGCTGCTCCCCTCAGCAGTGTATTTCAGTCAGTCTGTCTGTTCTGTTCCCCACTGTGTCTCTGGTGGATCCTCTCACCCCCCGCATCTCTGGCCTGTACCTCAGCTTTGTATGCATAAATAAATAAATCTTAAAAAAAAAATCAGAGTTTGGTGAAGAACAAAAGGATAAATGGTTTAAGTATGCCATTGGAGGGGGGTGTGGGTAAGGAGGATTCTTACCTCTTTCTAGACCTGGGAGCACATAGAATGAGGAAGAGAAAAACCTGCTTTCAACTCAGGTCAGTCAGGTTTCAGTCAGAATTCATCAGTGAAGGAAAAATTTAGAGGAGCTGAAGCTGAAATAGAGTTTGCTATTGAAGACCATGAGTACCAAGGGGCAGGGTGGAAGGATTTTGGCAGGCAGTAAGGGTGGGGTATGGGAGAGAGAAGTGGACTCATATTACTGGGGGACGTAGACAGCAGTGTAGCTATAACACTGGCATGACTATAAATTATCTGGGAGACTTGGTTTCTACACTCAATGATTCATTTGATAGCAACAACATTTAAAGAGATATTTAGTTTTTGAAATTTATGTGCATTTAAACAAAAACCTCCAATCTCATGATTTAAAATTGGTCCTCGGATTAATACAGGGTGGTGATGCAGGTCCTGAGCTGTTCTGGTGCCTCTTTTTTTTTTTCCTTTTTTTTTTAAAGATTTATTTATTTATTTATACAAGCACTGGGCACAGTCAGAAGCGCGGGAGGGTGAGAGAATTCACCAGAGCCAGAGCAGGGAGCAGAACAGGCAGAAGGACTGAAGTACACTGCTGAGGGGAGCAGCGGGCGGCAGGAGAGGTCTGTGCGCCATGTGGGACCCTTGCGTGGCCGGGGATCGAACCGGTGCTGCAGAGGCTGCTGGCAGCTTCACAACCCAGTGCTCAACCGTGTGCCACCGGGGAGGCCCTGTTCTGGTGCCTCTTTCATGATCTTAAAGTTTCTATTGGCATGCCTGCGATCATGACCAGGGGACTGTAAACAGCTGACAAGGAAATAAATCCAGTTAGGCTAGATTTCATGCTATGTGCCCTCTAAGGCCAGTAGTAGAAGCTGTAATTTCATTATCAGTTGTCATCTTGACCTTCAAGGCAGAAGCAGTAGCTGTTTTTCTGTGTTTTTTTTTTTTTTTCCCAAGTGTCCTCAAATGCCCAATGAGATTCCTGATGTTGAGAAGAGGAGGGAGCTAAGGAAAGGCAAGAGAAGCATACTTACACATGGCGCATAGCGTCCTCAAAAAGAACCAGGTCCATCACTGTGTTGACTTCATTGTGGTTCTCCAAGGCTTCTACCAAGGTCTGTGTCAATAGCTCCCATGATTGTACAGGCATATACTTGGGTTCCCCCATGCCATTTGCAAAATGACAATACATGTTCAAACTTTGGGTCTGCTCTGTAGTTTGTTCAATACCCTGGCAATGAGACACAGGAAAAAGGACCCTCCTTAGGGACTCTCAAATCTGGTAGTTCCATCCAGAGTGGAGGCACCAAATCTGACTTTTCTCTATGCATGCTCCCTGAAAATTAAGTGTTGGGAGACCTTCCAACACTTTCTTCCTCTAGAGGACCCCTTATAAGTGGATGTTTAATATTAGCTTATCAGTTCCATATGAATGATATCCATTATTCCTGTGGAATGAGGAGTGGAAATGGAAGGTGGGAGGCGGCCCCCTTACATGCACAGTAGAAGACCATATGAGAGCAGAGGAGTTGGTGGGGATGCATGGGGTCTTTCTTTAGGGGATCACAGCCCAATGACCTGAACTTTCACACATCTATTCCAATAGGTTTTGCTTCCCAATTCACAGCCATGTCATAGAACATTTTTTCCTGTTTCCACTGAGATTGAACACAATAGATCTCCAGGTTTAATTCAAAGACTAAGTCCAGAGGGACTGGTGTTTGAAGCATGTGCCACAAACTATCCTTAAGTGACTGACTGGCTTGTTTTATGGGGACATAGCTAATCTTGAAGCATTATATTCAAACTCCCTATTTATAAAACTTTTATATAGATTTGGGTTTACTGTGCATCAAACATTGCCCTCTGGGCAAAGATTAGCATGTTCAATAAATACCTCATAGAACTCAACTAACTTAAAAGATATTCTCTAAGTATTGAAATGGCAACTTTTTTTTTTTAATTCAGGAGGGAATTACTTGCCAAAACTTAAACACAGGAGACTTCAGGAGTTAACAAAGGATGTGGAAGATGCAAGTTTAAGAAAGAATAGGTTTCTAATGCCTAAGTAGAAGGTAATACCAGCATAAGCAACTGTCCTCACTTGCCATTCTTAAAGTTCAGAATGGAAAAACCACCTAGGGAAGAGCTGAACCTCATGCTTTTCACCAGCAGGGGCATAACTCAGGGCATATGTCACCATGGGGTTAGCCATGTAAGCCCATGGGACAATATTCATCAAACCTAATGTAGGGAAAGTGATGATGATAATTGCATTTATAGGGAAAACAGGGATGCAGCCTGGGTATAAGAATAAAGAAATATGAAGAGTTAGATATTAAAGAATGACTATGTTTTGAAGGTGGTTTCAGGGTCCCAGAAAACCTTTAAGTTCTAGCTTTGCCAGATAATAAACTAAATGTTCAGACATTTGGATAAGATTTGATGCAATGCAGAGAGTCATTCTTGCTAGTTGAGGGAAGCACATGGGAAAGCAATGTAGGAACACATTCCCATTTAAAAATGGGCTATTATATTGGGAATCAATCTTAATAGCATCAGTTGGAACTAACGATCTATGGGAAGAGCGACTAAAGTGCAGTTCTGACAAGACTGGTCTACAATGAATCTTTGATGAACAAAATAATAAGTTTCCAATTTTATGATCAGAGCCATTCTGTCTAAAGGGAGAGGGAAAACCAACTCACACAGTAAACCAGAGATTTCCTAATAGTGATGTCCTATCACACATGGGCCATAAGATTCTAATGGTAGACACGGGACTATATTGCTTGCTCAGTGGAACTTGGGGCACCTTTTCTTTCATAACAAACACTAAGATTTGGGGCAGCCAAAGGTGCTTCAGGCTGATATTCTAAGTGTTGCTGGGGGAGATAAGCAGAATTAATTACACGTGCTTCTGTGGTCAAAAAATTGTGTCCTTAGTAGAAGAAAGATGTAAAAAAATATATAAAAAAACTAGGAAGGAGAAACCTTCCCCCAAAATAAAACCAATTTCAAATTAAAAAAAGGAAAGATGTGTCCTTAGTATACAGGCACCTTTCACTACATGGTTAGCCATATGACCAGATAGGAACCTCTATTGCAAAGACTGAGTGTTGTTACTCCAAAGTGCTAGTTCAAGTCAACTTAAAAGGACAATCAAGGGTTGTTTACAGACTCAAAAAATGAATATATAAACTGGCAAATGCTACAATGCAAATGTAAGATACGAGAGCACTGAACATCAAGTCATAGAATACTGATAGGATAAGTGGCGTATTCCAGGGTGTTTGAACTAGTAAAGTGCAGGATGAAATTAGTTATTAAAATGTTTAAAAGTTCAAAACAGGGCCTCCCTGGTGGCTCAGTGGTTGAGCGCTGGGCTGCAAAGCTGCCCACAGCCTCTGCAGTGCCGGTTCGATCCCCAGCCACCGGCGAGGGTCCCACATGGCATGCAGACCTCTCCTGCCGCGCCCACTGCTCCCCTCAGCAGTGTACCTTAGGTCCTTCTGCCTTTTCTGCTCCCTGCTCTGGCTATGGTGAATTCTCTCACCCTCCCACGCTTCTAACTGTACCCAGTGCTTGTATAAATAAATAAATAAATCTTTAAAAAAAAGTTCAAAACATTGACATGTAGGTTGGAATGGACTATAAATATCTGGAGAAATAAACTCAGGATCTTTTCAGGAAAAAAAAAAATGGAGCCAAACCTAACAAAGTAAGCACAGGGCTGGGCAACAGAAGGCTCAAGGTTAGCTGTAGTGATAATTTTCACACTACAAAAAAAAAATAGTAAGATCTTAGGTTTTTGTAATATATACATGCTTCCCAAGGCATATTCCATGGGCCATTCAGCATGAAAATTATTAATAGGTTTTATGAAGGGAAAAGAGTCTTGGGGTCCAATAAGTATGGGAAATGATACATGAATGAGGGTTAGCCAAGACTTTCAGGGCTTTTATATGCTGAATGATCTGTGAACTTCCAACAGGGTTATATCATATAAAGTACTTTCTCAACTTAATTTTATCTTAGATAACTTCTTTCCAAGGAGTATATGTAGTACAATTGTTTAGCAGGACACAATTTGGGAAATCTAGTAGGGAATCTATAGTATATAAGAAAGGGGACAGTCTTTGCTTTTGGTCAGACCCCATCTGGGTTGTGTGATGGAAGTTGGGCAGCCCAATTTCAGAGGGGAGAATTGATAAGACAGTAATCAAAAGGATGTCAGATTCCTCTGGGTTTGAACAGACGCCATGTCATAAAGAGCTGAAAGGACAGAGGCTATTTGCTATTTGTCTTGAAGAAGAAAACACCCAGGAAAGACAAAATAAATGATCATAAAATATTTTATGGTTTGTCATGTAGACCTAGTATTGGTAGAGAGGGAAACAAATTTTGGTCATTATCAGAATAAGTTTCCAGTCTTTAAATTATTCCAGAGCTTCCAAATTTCCAGTCATTATCAGTTCCAAAGAGACTGCCTTAGGCAAGATGAGATAGTGCTTTTTCAAGCATGTTGAAATGTCAACTGGGATGACCAGTGGGGAAATGTGACTGAGAGGTGTGAGTGGAGTAGGATTTGGAGCAGGTGATCCTCATAGATATAAACACTTAGTCTCTATGACCAAATTGTATCTCTTCTTGCCCTAGCATTTATCCCCTGGACAAAAAATAAAGATAGATTTTCCTTTCTTTATCTAATCTTTGACTTTCTCCAATTTATGGAAGATGTTTATCATTTGGGTGACCATCTGTATAATTGTCATTATTTTTCAAATGTAAAAAAAATCGCAGGGTAATACTCACATCAAAAATTTTTTTGACCATGTCTGACTGGATTTTGTCAAAAAGATCAAAGTCCTTTTCTTCCACCATCTTGTCCCGATAAACCCTATTTGATTCATGTAGGTAAAGCTTTACTAGGTCCTGTGAGGATTTTACACATTCCACTGTGGAGAAGAGAATGCCCTTTAGGGAGAATAAAAAAAGACAAAAAATGGCATTAATAACAATTGAAAACTACAATAGCTCCAATTTTTTGAAGCCAGTTGTGTAACAGGTGTTGGACTAGATGTTTTCCAGGGTACTTCCCAGTACATTTTGTAAGAACTTCATGACCCCAGAATATGAGAAGAAAGAAAAATTATAGGACAATCTTATTAATATAAAGATTGTATATAAGGAAGCAATGCGATCCAACAAAATATATAAAGGTCAACATGTAGTAACTGAGTTGGACTTATTTCAGGAATACAAGATAGATGTAAAATTCAAAAATAATCAATATAATTTGTCATGTTTCCAGATTAAAGGAGAAAACTATATAATTATTTCAACAGGTACAGAAAAATCATTTAAGTTTCAACATATATTCATGATTAAAACTCTAGTAAACTGTAAATGGATAAATTTATTTTCTTTATTCAGTAACATTGGTTTACAATTCTGTATATGATTTAGAGGTACAGGATCCACCCCTCTTCAGATGGACGTTACCACAACACACCCACCATACCAAGGTGCTGAAAGTCCTCCATATATCCTTTCCCACTTTGCTCTCCCCTCTCTCCCTCCCACTCTGGTAGCCTCAATTCTACATTCAGATTTCCAGGGTTTGGTTGGTTTTATCTGACCCTTTGTTTTGTTTCTTTGTAGGCCACATGTAAGAGACACCATCAGCATTTGTCTTTCTCCTCCTGACCTATTTTGCTTAACATAATCCTCTCCAGTCCATGTTGCTGCAAATGGCAAGAGTTGATCATTTTTATAGCTGTGTAGTATTCCATTCTGTATCTATACAACATTTTGCTAATCCACTGATCTTTGGGCACTTGGGTTATTTCCATAAGTTTGCTTTTCTTTACTAAGGTTATTATTTCACTGCAAAATGTGTCTCGGAGTTAACCACATGCACATGTCTGCCCATCAGCCTCATAGGTAAAATATATTCATTTGGAGCAGATTAGATGTTGTTTCCTATTTTGTTTTTCTTGGAAGTTTTATATTCTAGATGGAAAATTAAATGTTCATTTGACACTTGGCTTGTTTAATGAAGCCAGTATCTGTTCTCTATTTCCAAAATATTGTACATGTCAAAACTGGTCTTGAAGAAGAAAGCCTAAATCATTAAAAAGAACTTCAACAGGGCCTCCCCAGTGGTGCAGTGTTTGAGCGCTGGGCTACGAAGCTCTGCAGCACTGGTTCGATTCCCGGCTGCTCGGCGAGGGTCCCACTTGGCGCGCAGACCTCCCCTGCTGCCCGCTGCTTCCCTCAGCAGTGTATTTTTCATCAATCTGCCTGTTCTGCTCTCCGCTCTGGCTCTGGTGAATTCTCTCACCCTCTCGTGCTTCTGACTATATCCAGTGCTTGTATAAATAAATAATTTTTAAAAAATCTTTAAAAAAAAAAGAACTTCAACAATTCCAGAATGCTACTTTTGTAGCTGGGGTTTCCAAATGTGCCATAGCAAAGGCACAGATGTGGTATACATACACAGTGGAACACTACTCAACTATTAAACAAAACAAAATCTTGCCATTTGTCATAACATGAATGGAACCAGACAAGATTATGCTCAGTGAAATAAGTAAAAAGGAGAAAGACAATGCATCACTTATGTGTGGTCTATAGAGAAACAAAACAAAATGTCAGATAAAATCTAACCAATAACAAACCTTAGAAGTCTGATCATAGAACTGAGGTTACTGGAGGGGAAAGGGAAAGTGGGAGCAGAAAAGGGGAGGGAGCACAATGGACTATGGGGGAGGACTATGGGTGCTTTGGTGGTGGATGTGGTATAGTAAGAACACCTGGAGGGGGAGATACTATATGTCTAAAACACAGAAAGAAATTTTCTTAATCTGGCATGAACATCCACAGAAACCTCTGGTAGGCATCATGCATAATAATCAACCATTAGAAGCTTTCCCTCCTAAAATTAGGCATGTAGCAAGATGACACTCTCACCATTTCAGCATTGCACTGGTAGTCATAGCGAGTGCTATAGGACAAAATGGAATGAGATTTAAGGATTAGCAGAAATTGTTAACACTTACAATCTCAGTGCTACATGTAACTATCTCAGATGGTGCAAACAAAATTATTGTTATCATTGTGGTTGTTGTTACTTACTATCATTATTTGTCAACACTATGACACATAAATACAATCATGTATAATATATATTTATAAAATACAAAGGTAATATCAAAAACTACCATATGATTCTGCTTATATAATATCCAAAATACACCAAAATAAGTTATGGTGTTAGAAATGCAGACAGTATTTACTGCAGGGAGTAGGAAAAAAGAATAACTGGAAGGAAGTAAAAAGAGGAGCTTCAGGGGCCTCCCTGGTGGCACAGGTGGTTGAGTGCAGGGCTGTGGAGCTGTCCCCGGGCTCTGCAGTGCTGGTTCTATCCCTGCCGGCCTCGGAGCAACCCACATGGCGAGCAGACCTCTCCTGTCTTGCCTGCTGCTTCCCTCAGCAGTGTATTTCGTCAGTCTGCCTGTTCTGTTCCCTGCTCTGTCTCTGGTGAATCCTCTCACCCTCCCGCGCATCTGGCCTCTATCCTGGTTCTTGCATAAATAAAATAAATCTTAAAATAAAAAAAAAAAAAAGAGGAGCTTCAAGGATACTGCAAGTGTCCTATTTCTTGACCTGAGCCTTGTGGTTGTTTACATAGGTATGATGACCTTGTGACAATTAACTGCTTTATGCTAATGATCTGTATGCTTTTCTATTTTATGTTATGCTTTAATAAATGCTTATTTAAAATTTTTCATTAGAATCCTTTGGCTCCACCTACTCATATTATTAAAAAAAAAAAAACAAGAAGTTCCTTTAGATTTCTTTGGTTCCACCAACACATAAATTCAACTTCTCTCTTCCCGGATATCCTAGGTATTGTTCATATTTGAGATGCAGAGGGCAGGAAAGTACCATCTTAGAATCCTGACTTCTGGAACTTTGTGTTTACAATGAGGTATGCTATCAGTTGAAGTTTTTAAGTTTTGTGTCCAATACTCAGGCTGAATGACATTAAGAACTGAGTGAATGTGAGCATGTCAAGCACAAATTTTGCACCATCTGAGATAGTAACATGTATCACTGATATGGGAATGGTTAATGATTTCTGCTACACAGAGCATTATCAAATTCTGCTCTGCTTGGGATAGAATGAGGGAAGCACAGAGAAGGTATGAATTATTGAGCCTTGGATTAATCTGGAAAGAGGAAATCAGCATGTTCTCTAGGCAGTAAAGGTCTCCTAGTGGGCATTCAACCATCGCTTAATCTCTTCTGTCAGACTTTTAGACAAGCAGGCAGGCAGGGAGGGGAGGCAGGGGGACATTGCAGTCAAGCTCTGAGCTTAAAACTCTTCTTTGAAGGAGGATGGTGAAGAGTTGTGTGATAGAAGAGAGGCAGGTGTTCCATGGGGGGAATGTGTTTTCCCACACTTGTGGCAGGTGGCTGACAGCTGGCAGGTTGCAAAGAGACCTGGCTGGGATACAGAGCCCAGGGTGTTGCCACTCAGGCAAAGGAATAAGGCAGGGGAAACCAGAGACACAGCCCTCACTTCAATATCTCACCTCTTAGTTCCTCCTTGATGTTACATCAGATGCCACTGAAATAAGGTTAGAAAAGAACCCTCTTTTTTGAAGAAGTGTTTGTAATGATCCTGAATTACCTGCAAAGTAGGGCTGAAGGTTTTAGATACTGTGGGACTGTTTTGAGTGATCATGCTCAAGATACTTGATGTGCTTGTGGCACAGTCATGTCATTTCTAAATTGGAGACAATCAGTATTTTCCTTCATATGGTGGTTGTGAGGATGAAATTGTTTGCTAATATTGTAAAGGGTTTAGGTCTGGGCTCAATAAATGTGAGATACTATTACAGATAAAGGAAAACTTTTTACTAGGATCTACTTGTCTCCAATTATCTTCCCCATCCTCTTTCTCACCCAGACCTGCCATATCACTCTGTGCTACCTGGCCACACAACTTGTTATTCCACTGACATTAATTATACTTTTCTATCTCCGTGACCATTCATGCTGTTCCTGCTAGCTGGAAACTTCTCTGACCCTCTGTTAAATTGGGATGACAATGTGCATTTCAAAAGGTTGTCATGAACTTTCATGGTTGTACAGGTGATAAAGTGTCTTTCTAGACAGGGTAGTGGGTGCTACCAATAAGAGAGACTTCACTGCCTCTTTTCCCTTTAGTTCTGCTGCTATGAGCAATGTATATCTGATCAAATGATTTTAATTTTTAGTTAATTTTTTTAAATTTGGAAATGAAGATGATAGCACCCCTACCTTATCATGCTGCAGTGAAATTTAAAAGAAATAACATGTAAAAATGTCTTTATCAGTGCTCAATGAATGGTAGTGTGCAGAGATTCTCCAGTGTGCAAGCCTGCAGGCCACAGAGTAAAGCTGAGTCTTTCTTGCTGCCTTAATTATCTTATTGTTGTTCTCATCAGAAGTACAAATGAGGAGGACAGAATGTTGTGGTGGAAAAGGTGCAGATCAGGAACTTGAAGACCTAGATTTTAGCTTCAGTTCTTTCTTGGCTTGCTCTTAGGCAAACCTATATAATCTCAGTGGGCCTCTCCTCTCCTCCTCAGTTTTGAGTAAATGAATGACTAGAGTGTACATGATCCTGGAGTGATGTCCTGGGATGCTTAGAGGTGTTCTCAGAGTTTATTTTGTTGTGTGGCTCAGTGGTTCCACCATTAGTTTAATCTTTCTAGAGCATAGCTCTTAGATCTTCAAACTAATGTTCAATAGTTTTCTGCTCTTTATAGCCAAGAATCCTGATTGGAACATCCTAGAACACATTCTCAGTGTCTGAGGTTCCCCAGAGTCTTACCTGCACAAGCAGTGCTCTGGGTAATTAATTCTAAATACATGTGCTCTACATGGAGGGTCATGCCTCATTCCCTGATCTCTTCATGTTGACATTTCCCTACAGTGTGGCTTCTACTTGGTGTAACATCCATCAATAATGGTTCAGTGCTATATGAGGTAGGAGGCACTCACAAATCAGTTTCTGCAGATTCTTTTCCAGGATGGGAATGTTGTGTTCAGAGTGGGAGAGCTATATGTGAGGATGCTCTATCTGACCCAGGGCAAGAGAAGGCCCAGGTTTGCTTCATCACCCTCTGGAGATTTGACAGTGAAGGGCCAAGCAATTGGAAGTAATGGGCAGAGACAGGCCATCATCAATTAGATGAGTAGTTGGAAGGATCTAAAATAGCTTTGGCCTGGAAAAGAAACAAATTTTTAGGAATAAGATACCCCAGGGGCAGGCAGACGGTGTCTCAGAAATATTGCAGCATGGCTCCTTCAAGAAACAGATCTATCCTGCATGGCTTGGGGGAAATTTCTTTTTTTCATTCTAAGAATAAGGGGTACACCACCAGAATCTGCAAAATAGTCTCTCTTTTGTGCCACTTTCCCTTCTAGGCATACTCAAACTATTGAACAACACTATCTTCAAGATGCTGAGCCTTTTCCAGCCTGAAGGAACCAACTCTGAAAAGCATTTTGGTTACTGGAAACTAAAACAATCAGTGATCAGGACTCTGTTTTGTTGAGGTCCTTCCTCACGGAGTCCACAGCATCTTGTTTTCTTATTTATGTTCATGACTCTATAAAATTTGCCTTTGCCTCAGAGTTTGATGCTATTATTTTACTGAGAATGGTAGGTACAAATCACCACTAAATCTTCTAAGGTGTCTTGGAGCAGATGAACCCACCTGGAAAATGTTGGCAAAGTCTCTAAGATTGAAGATGTAGTGGAATTTGATCGCTGTGGGCAGGAATGTGGTAGCAATTTTCTGGTGGAAGGTAAGGGCCAGATTGATCAGCTGGGGGATGGATTTCTGCAGTGCTGCTGGGAAGTTTCCAAGCTTTAGGTGCTGGGTCAGGATGGTGCTGTAGATGGAGGACAGGGCATCTGCTCCCGGAAAGGAGAGGACAAATACACTGAAGTGACGCTGCACAAGGAAACATGCATGTGGAAGAGGCCAGGGGTTAGACATCATTATCACTGAATAAAAGTTGCCTTCTTCTTTACTCCTACATTCTGGTCAAATTTCTCACTCTAAACTCAAACTTTGGTTGACTGGGGGACTGTACTTTAGGTCAACGATGTCATTATGGGACAGTAGGAAGAGAACTGAACTTGGGTCAGAGAATCAAATTCCAAATCTGAATTTGATACTGAATATCCCCAGGACCTTGAGAAAGTCATGTCATCCCTCTGAAGTTTTCTCATTCTGAATATTGAGATGAATCAGATGAATTCTGACACTTTCAAGCTCTAAAAGCTTCATGATTCTGGGTCTACGAGTTTCTCTGTCTCTGTTGAAATACAAGTTAGCATCTTGTATGATTCAGCATTTTAAGAGGTTGAACAGGGGAAAGGCTACTTATTACTTATATAAGTGACATCAGCCCTGGTAGGTAGTATTCAGAACCCAGGTACCCAGGGTCCTACCTTACCTGAAGTCTTGGGTTGATGGTGAAGCTCCCGGCAGTGGGGTTCATACAGGAAATATACTGTACATTCATGATTTCCTTTAGGGACAGTTTGTTCCGATCATACCTGGAAAGTCAGATGCATGGGTGAGAGTTGTGTGAGGGTCCAGGAAAGTGTGTGCCTTGTCAAGGGAAGTGGAATGTATCCTATCATTCTTGTATTTGGGTGGTTAAAAAAAAAGTCAGATGCATCGGTAGAGATTGAAAAGAGATAATAATTGAGGGAAAAATCCTGAAGGGTCATACAACAACAGAAGTAGCATAGAAAGAAGGCACCACCAGGTCAGAATAAGAGATGGGGGATTAGCAGGAATGTTTAACACCCCTGAAAGCAAAGAAAGCTAGTACTTCCAAAAGGAGAGAGCAATTAACCATACCACATGCTGTAGAGAGAATAAGGAGGATCATGACCTAAAGGGGTCCATGGGAAGCCACAATAAAAAGAGTGAGTAGTTGAGCAAGAATAGTCCAGTAAAATTGAGGAAAAAGAAACCAATAAAATGATAGGGGACTGAGGAATGAGAGGGAGATGTGCAAGCAGAAAAAGAGTAGAGTGATAACTTGGTTAGTAGGGAGAGAGATAGCACGTAATTAGAGAACGATTTTTGGAATAAAACAGAATTTATGCAAAGGAGCCAATCAGGAGATGGGGGGTACAGTTGATGAAGTGAGGATTTCAGGAGGTGAGAGAGAATAGAATCAAGACACTGGTGGATGGTTAAGTCTTAAGGAAGAGGTAACAGGAGGAGAGTAAAAAGGATGTTTGTTGATGCAAGCAATTTGATAGATGTGGAACTAAAAACAGATGCATCTGCATCCTCTGTGAAGGGAGGGTCATCAGCTCTGATGGGGCAGGAAGTTTGAGGAGAGAAGATGAGGCATGGAATAGATATTTATGAGGTGGATATACAAACATATTAAGGTAATTTCCATTTAAGGTTTGTGACTATAAATCCAAAGCAAAACTAATCAGCTGACTGATTTTTTTCCCAGCATAGATCAGCTGCTCAAATATGGGTGTGAAGGTCATGGATGTTTGTAGATTGTAGGCATCAAGCCAAAGCTGTAGGGGTGAATGACGGACAAGTCAGGTTGCCATCATAATAATTCTCTTTGAATTCCTTTTTCATACTTCCCTTTCTTTCTCAGCAACTGATTCAGTGTGAGGTAGGAAGGTAAGCCAAAGTCATCTCAAATCACTGACTTTTTTTTTTTTCTCACAAGTTCAAACCTTTTGCCAGTAAGTCCTAATTGTTGCAAGAGCTGCTATCAGAGCCTGGGAGTTGCTATGAGTGGACAAAGGCTGTTGAAGTTCACGGACACATGTGTCCTCTACACTGTGGTGTTACCACTGATGTACCTGCTTAGTGCTATGGAACCACAGTGGGGTAGGCAAATGGCTAATCCTGCTTTGGGGGCTTGAAGAAGGCAACTTTTGACATGAGTAATGAATAACAGTAGACTTTTTTTCCTTAGATGAGAGCTTCTCTGGCCAAATTCTTCATCTGAGTCTTAGCCTATCTGAAAGAGCATTCTAGGAAACAAAAGCCATGAAGATTCTTGTAGGGATTCTCCTCCGGCAGCAGAGCTCTGCCTTAACCTCCCCCTCAGCTTCCCACTGGCCCCAGCCCCTTTGTGGGTGCTCTTACCAGTGGCCATAGTCCAGATGCTGCCTGATGATAGTGTGTGGCTGCACAGTCCCATAGGCATCCACCTCAGGCATGTTCATGTCATCAATGAAATAAATAAGCTTCTTGTTGCCCGGGGGGCCATAATTTCTGCCAGCCTTCTTTTCTAGAGGCTTTTCCAGGACAGCTGACAAGAGAGCCAGTTAGTGAGGGAAGGAAGTACCAAGACAGTAAGGGTCAAGGGAAAGCCATGCACATGCATGTACACAACAGCAGCTATTATTAGATGAGGGAGTTCCAGGGAGTTCTACAGGACCCAAAGGCATGTTTGGAAATTGCTAAGCAGAAATGGTGGCAATATTGATCAGACATCGGCTTTCTTACTATGTGCACTGGTAGATGTTTACATTTATGATCTTTCATGCTCAAAAACAAGATAAGTGTTATTTTCTCATTTTACAGATGAAAGAATGGAGACACAGACAGAGGAGGAAACAACTTTTCTAAGGCAGAGCCAGAATACAAATCCGAAGTAGTGAAACCTCAAAACAGCTGCTCCCCTATCATAATTAAGTTCCCAGTTTTCTTTGTTTATAGACTAGAAACGGGAGATAGCTTCATTCTCCCAAGGCCTGGTACTCTATCCTTATGGAAAATTTCTGCTTAGCACAAATTTCCAGATCCTGAGTAGACCTGCCCTCTCTAATTATGCCAGCAGAGGAGCACAAAGGCTGCCTTTCTCATCCAGGGCTGGGTAGGAGCCCCTTCTATCCCTAGGCTATCAGAAAGGAATCACTGGGTATCTTGTCAACATTATTTTCAGAGACTTTGCCTCCTGGAGTTTTCCTTGAGGAAAACAGCCTCAGAGAATTTCCCAGAATCTTCCAGTATCATGATCTGCTCTCCCTCTGTCTTCGGGTTTTCAGACCCCCTATGAGGGCATCCCAGTGCATTTCTGGAGACTAAGCACAGACTGTCTTCTGGAGCTGTTTCTTCAATTATCCAGGCAGAGGGAAGGAATCAAAGAGAACAATTTTCTAGCCTGACAGGACTTGTTTAGAACAAACTTAAGTATTAGTGTGGAGATATATGTTATTTTTTTCCAATAAAGCAATTAAATATTTATGCATTGCAAGAACCAACATTTCCTAGTACAGCTGGAAGCTCTAAGAGCCATCTGATTCCTCCTCTTGAAAAACAAGTTTATAAACAAGGAGAAAGTGTCAATAGACATACGAAGGTGACAGAAAGACAAGTTCCTTCAAGAAGCTTGAATATTCTAATTTTCTGGTCCTGAGTTAAATTAAGTGTTTCAAATATGAATGGAATTTTAATTTAATTAACATCCAATTAACATACACTATCAACCAATTAATCACCCAACACCTTCTTTTCCCCTGAAGATATAACGACTATATACAAGATCTGTCAAAATGAAATATAATTAACGGGCTGCCAAGGACATGCTTCTGAGAACAGTCCTTCTATTAGGAAATTCTCTCCTTAGGAAGACTTGTTTCTCCTCCTCCCAAAGCAGTGATATTCAAATCAACTCCTGGAATTAAGCAGACCCTGTAATTTGGGTTGATTAAGCTCTTTACACTTCTAAGGGATTATTGAGGAGAAAAGCATGTCAGTTAGCAAGAAGTGGCCTTAAAATGCACCAGATTATTGCAAATGGATGATATTAAATTCTTCAGAAAAAGAAAACTCCACTGGAAGGGCACATACATTTTGGTCCCTTTTTGGCCAAGCTCTGCTCCACCCAGGATGGAATGATGGCAAGCTATTCTGTTTCCTGGTAGAACTGCAGGAACAGAAGTGGGTTTAAATTTCAGCAAGCATGTTGACATTGAAAGTCTAAAGAAATGAGACATATGATGAAATGCAACCCTTACTATGCATTTCTGGGTTCTGCCTTGTGACAAGTCCTGAAGGTCCAGTCCATGTTCAGGCCTGGAGTTCATCAGTACTATCTGTACCATCTCACTGAACGCCATACCAAGGCTACACTTAAGTTTGGTGTTCAGCTTGTGACCATGTGAAGCAGCACCAACTAGTCTCAATGTTTTCATTCACTCCATCACAGTATGTCGGGAGAGCAATTTCATTTTTAATATGAGTTTCCCAGCAGAGAGGGTTATCTTTGTAAGATGTAAATCAGATTACACCAGTGCCTCACTTAAAACCCCCCAGTGGCGTCCCACATCTCCCTTGGAGCAAAAGCCAGTCTAGTAACCTCCATAAAACTGTCACGTATATTTTTCTCTCCTACTGTTCCTCTCCTCACTGCCTCTGCTCCAGACATTCTGTTTCTGATACATAGTTAGATGCTGTCTTGGGAACTTTTCTTTGTCGGCTTCCTCTGCCTGAAATTCTCCCAAATGCCAGCACACTTTGTTGCTTCACTTCCATCATGCATTTATTTACTCAAATGCCACTGTCTCAGGAAGCCCATCCCTGGAACACCATCTAAAATTAAATGGCTTCATTTTTCTCCATCACCACTTAGTATCTTCTATATTTCACTTATTTATCTTATTTATTATCTCAACCCCTTCATACTATAAATTTTATGAAGCTAAGATTCATTCTCTGTTTTTCTCATTGTCATAACCCCAACAACTAAAGCATAGCATAAAGTATATGTTCAAGAAACATTTATTAAATTAAGAAGTGAATGGATTTTATTATTAGAATAAACCCCCAAGAATAGGCAAAGGAAAGCTTATTATCCCACTTAGTGAATAAGGAAATAGAGACTAAATGCCTTGCTGGAAATAGAATCCAGGATGTGGATAGATTCCACATTTCTGTCACTGAAATAATTTGTTTACCTGTGTTTGAACTATTTTCCTTCCATATTATCTAAAACTTTTCACTTATTATGACATTTCAGTTATATTGTAAGAGCCTTGCATTTATTCTTTCAAAATTTAACATAGTTTGCATGATTATAAAAAATAATACATATTCATTATATAAAGACTAAGCAGCATAGAAAATCATAATGATGAAAATGAAAATTGCTCATAATTTACTAGCAGTAAGCATTACTTTTAATATGTTGGTGTATTTCATTCTAGTCTATGTACTCTGTTACATTTTTCCTTTACAAAATCAGAACTATGCTGCATATTCTGCTTGTGTATGTTTCATTCATTTCACATATCATAAACCTCTACATAAAAATATATATCCTTCTAAGACGTGATTTTAATTGCGGCATTATGTTTTGGAGGTAGCAAAATTTATGCAATAGTTTCTTTATTGTCTGAAACATGAGTTCTTTTCAATTTCCTTATACTTTGGAACTCCCTTTCTTATCTAAATAGAGTTTCATACCCCCCTAGATGATAAATCTTTGATGATTTAATTTTATGTCATCTTTTTGGAAGACATTAAAGCAAGCAAATGAGAGCTATCAATCCATAATAACATAAGCTTGATACTCCTTTGAGGTTGAGAGTTTGATTCGATTTCTTAAGGTCCTGTTCAACTTTAAACTTCTATTGAACAGGTTGGAGAGATTTGTTTTACGCAAAGAATCAGACACATGAGCTCTTATCTAATTAGTGTAATTAAGCACTCAAATATTTGCTGAACTAATAACTCAAATCACAGTTGGATGGTAAGAGAATACAAGATTGTAAAGAGTATAATCACAGGCCCACACCTCTTATAGTGCAAATATGAGTTTGTTGATACTTTAACTAAATCCTACCTCCTTTTCTCTTTCTAAACTATCCTGTCTATGGGTCATTGTAAATTCTTTTATTTAAAAGATTAATTATATTTTCAAAAAGAATGAGAAGAGGCTTAAAATATTTGAATAGACATAAGGCAGACCATTTAAAATAAAGACTAAAAAGATTGCAAAACAATATAGGAGAAAACTTATTTTCAGCAGTAATCTAGGGTGAAATAATTACTATAACCAAATAAAAATGACATTGCCCTTTATAGGCTCTTAATGTAAAAGCTCAGAAGTCAATTTGTATTTAATTACAGTAACCATGCCATCCCAGATTACTGGTACAAATCCACTTCTATTTTTGTATGAAAAAATGTTTCAGGTACTAACCCTAAGAGGCATAATCATGGACATTTACCAAAGGGTTATCAGATGATAAAATGAGAATGGTCTTCAACTGAGATTTTACAGGAGAAACAAAAATAACTTCATATTACCTTTTATTATCCCAAGCCTCAACAAAACCCAAGCATGGATCATTGAATTGTAACTTAGTGAAGGGAAAGAGAGAAATGCTTGGAAAAGCTGGAGGAATGAAAAATGAGGACAGGTTTCTGCCTCTCTCCACTTTAGATATAGAGTTATTAATCTGTGATTTGTCATCTGTTGGAGAGTAGTGAATTAAAGGCTCTTTCAATGACCAACTGAAGCACCTGCTTTATTTACTATCAGTGGGAAACACATCTATTTAATTTAGTTATCAGATGAACAGAAGCACAGTTGACATTCTATTATGGAAATTAAGATGCATGGCTTATAGTCTTATCAAAGTGGAAGGCTACTAGAGCTTGACAAAATAAGATAGCTTTGCTATTAACTTGTTGTGTGACTTTGAAGGAAGTCACTTAACACCTCCAGGCCTCATTTACTCACCTTGTAAAAATAGACCATCATTAGATCTGTGATGGACACCATTTCCAATTTCTTTCTCTGTAGCCACTTTCTAGCTGAGGTGGCTGTGTGATACATTTCCTAACTGTAAGACAGACACAAGTCTAGGGGTTCCTCAGAGCTGTCTTTTACTAATATGGGGCTTCCCTCTCCCTTCATTTTTTCTTCTTTTGGAATGCAAATGTGATGGCTAGAGAAGCAGTCATCTGTCACCTTGAGAGAGCAACTATGAGAGCTGTAGGTATTATAGCACTGATCTCACTGAGCCTTTGATTTAGCAATAGTGACTGCCTACCTCCAGACTTGTGCGAAAAAAATAAAATCTCTGTACAGCCGCTGTCAACAGAATTTTTGCTGCTTTCAATCTAAAGAATTACTGACAGAGTCTCATAGGGAGGGGAGGATTAACTGAACTAAAAGGGGTAAAAATCTTAGTATAAGGTTTGACACATTATAAACATTAAATAAGACGTGTTATTCACACTGATGAGTAATGTGAATGTGCTGAAACACAACTGCCATTTGTATTTAAAGGATATGTA